ACCGTGCTCCCTCCTGCCGTTCAGACATGCCCACCATTGAGACGTGCGCACCGTGCTCCCTCCCGCTGTTCAGACGTGCCCACCGTTGAGGTGTGCCCACTGTGCTCCCTCCTGCCATTCAGACTTGCCCATGGTGCTCCATCCCACTGTTCAGACGTGCCTACTGTGCTCCCTCCCGCTGTTGAGACTGCCCACTGTGCTCCCTTCCATGGTTCAGACGTGCCCATCGTGCTCCCTCCCGCGGTTCAGACGTGCCCACCGTTGAGACGTGCCCACCGTTCTCCCTCCCGCGGTTCAGACGTGCCCACTGTGCTCCCTCCCGCTGTTGAGACTGCCCACTGTGCTCCCTTCCATGGTTCAGACGTGCCCACCGTGCTCCCTCCTGCCATTCAGACTTGCCCACCGTGCTCCCTCCCGCTGTTCAGACGTGCCCACCGTTGAGACGTGCCCACCGTGCTCCCTCCCACCAGGTGGCCTTTCTGTGAGCTCTTCCCTCTGCCTCGGATGTTGTTCCTGCCGCTGTTGGTCTAGTTGGCCCTCGTCTGCCCCCAGCTCTCAGCAGACGTCACCTCCTCAGGGAAGGTTTTCCTGGCTTCTCCGACCGAGTCAGCGTCCCTGGTACGAGATCCCCCCCACCGTGTAGTGTCCCCTCTGACTGTACAGTGTCCCCCCCCCACTGTGTGGTGTCCCCCCGCCAGGCGGTGCGCCCCCTTGCAGTGTTCCCCCCACCGTGCGGCGTCCCCTGCCGATGAATGGGTTGTTACAGTTGCAATCTGACATCTGTGTGTGTAGGTGTTTGTTGTGGGTCTTTCCCGTTAGCGTGTAGCGTCCATAGGATGGGAACTGGTCACCGCCGTATTCCTGGCGCCTAGACCGGTGCCTGGCCCACGCCGGTGGAAGGAAGGAGTATTTGTGGAAGGGGCTGCCAACAAAGGACAGCTCGAGAGAAAGTGAAGCAGGGGACAGATCGCGGGGCCAATGCTGGCGGGTGCTCCGGAAAAGCCGGCGTGTCGAGGATGGGGAACGTACCCTTTGGGTCTGGTGAGTGGAGGTCATGGCGGTCAGGGTCTTGCAGTGACGGAGGCTGGAGGCTGGGCCACGGCGTGGTGGGATGGCGTGGCGGGCAACTGGAGAAGGAGTGGACGTGGCCCCTCCTAGAAGGGCAGGGGGCCCAGAAAAAGGCCCCGGAGGCGGGGTGGGGGGGAGCCCGACCCCTCCTCTCTAAAGCCTGGTTCCGCTGCAGACATGCCCGCCGTGCCCCCTCCAGCGCATGCCGGTAAGCCACCGGGCCCGCTGGAGTCCTGGGGGTGGCAGGGAGGCCGGCCTTTTGTGGCCTCCCCAGGGCCGTGTGTGCCCGGAGCCTCCGCGCTGCCCTGGCGCGTCCTTCAGCACAGTGGCTCCCGTCCGGGTGGCTGGTGTCCCGTCCCACCGAGAGCGCCCCTGGGGACGGCGGGACTGGAGCCACGGGGCTTCTTCAAGGTCTAGAGCAGGAGGTAAGCTTGACGGACACGGGTCATCTCCGTGGAAGAATCACACTGGGCGCTGAGGCCGGGACACGGCGACGTCCCAGTGCTAAGGTGCCAGGAGTGTGCAGACTGGCCTGTGCGTGGAATTGAATGACTTGTGGCCCTCAGACCCTACAGACCACTGGGTTCAGCAGCCACGCGTGTCACGTGGCCAAATGCCAGCAAGGTAGCCGCGGTCCTGTGACCTGACACCTCCAGGGACAGGAGCTCCTGCTTCCTAAGGCAGCCGATGCCATCCCGGGACAGCTCTCAACCGCGTTTTTGTAAAGGTCTCCTTTCTTCTCAAAATAGATCTCCCTTCACTTTGAAAAAAGCCTTTCTTCGCCCCTGCTTATCCTTTCTTCCCTGTCGCCTCTCGTCGGCCCATCCCTCTGTAGGCTAATGGAAACAGAGCTACAGAATATTTTGGTTGTCAGGTCAGGGACCTTAGTCCACACTGCATGTTTCTGGGGAGCAGACCCTGTGGCGTCTCTGGTCTCTGAGATGAGATGTCTGCCCTGCGAGAGGGGCCCTGGGCGGGAGAGGCAGGTAGGAGCCTCCCCGGCTGCCATCCAGGCTAAGGAAGGCCTGGCAGAGCCACGGCGGGTCCCGGAGAGGAAGCCGGCCATCGGGGAGCTCTGCGTCCTCCGGGACCTGGCCTGCCTCAGTGGTCCTCCTGGACGCCATCACCGGAGGGAGGGACCCCATCACCGGGGGGAGGGACCCCATCACCTTGGCACAGACGTGAGGCTGGATTTCAGAGGCAGCTGGAGTTGTCAGGGAATTACTCTCTCTGTAGTTGGAGATCCGCGAGGCACGTCGTGGTGGTCAGTGTGCCACGGTCTCTCTGTGTCTGCCTCAGAATGAAAAGGTGGCCTTGCTCCTCCTGGAGAGGGCTGTTGGTGACCGCAGATATGCACCTGTTTGGGTCTAGGGTTCCCTTCACCTTGTTCGCTAGCTCTCCTCCCAGGCAGTCTGCTCTCTGTGCAAAAGCACTGCTTCCTGTGACTTTGGCTGCTGCTGGCCCTGAGGTGCCCCTCGGCTCCCACTGCGGGAGTGTCTCCGTGGGCACGGTACACTTGGTTCAAAGGGTTCTCCCACCCATTGTCCCATTGGACCCTCACCAGAGCCTTGTCAGGTTTCCATTTTACGGACGAAGAGACCAAGACTTAAAAAAGCTAAAAGAGGGGCGCCTGGGTGGCTCCGTCGGTTAAGCGTCCGACTTCGGCTCAGGTCATGATCTCATAGTTCGTGGGTTCGAGCCCCGCGTCGGGCTCTGTGCTGACAGCTCGGAGCCTGGAACCTGCTTTGGATTCTGTGTCTTCCTCTCCCTCTGCCCCTCCCCTGCTTGTGCTCTGTCTCTCTCTCTCTCTCTCTCTCTCTCTCTCTCTCTCTCTAAAAATAAACATTAGGGGCGCCTGGGTGGCGCAGTCGGTTGAGCGTCCGACTTCAGCCAGGTCACGATCTCGCGGTCCGGGAGTTCGAGCCCCACGTCAGGCTCTGGGCTGATGGCTCGGAGCCTGGAGCCTGTTTCCGATTCTGTGTCTCCCTCTCTCTCTGCCCCTCCCCCATTCATGCTCTGTCTCTCTCTGTCCCAAAAATAAAATAAATGTTAAAAATAAACATTAAAAAAATTTTTTTAAAAAGAAAAGAACGTAGAGAGCCCCTCTCATCCCTTCCTTGTGGCGTGGAAGTCCTGCTCTGCCCATCAGGTACCAGGGCGGAAAGGGTCAGTTTCTGTTGTATTTGGCCAGGGATGCCCCAAAGCTTCAGAAACAGCTGTACCGGGGACCCGAGAGTAAACTCAGGGCCCCCTGACTTCTGCTCTGGTAATAATAGCTGTCTCTATAGGAATGTAGTGATAGTAACAACTAACACTTTAAAAACCATGTAACAGCTTACAAAGCGCCATTTGTACAAACTGACTTACTGCACTTACTTTCTCTCCTGCTTGCAGGTTCTCTGCGCTCCAGAGCCACACATGACCCTGCGGAGATGACCGTCCTCGAGGTCAGCAACGTGCTACCAATTTCACCTGATCACTGTGTGCAGAATCCGGAAAGCCTAGGTGTGGTCCCCAAGGGTAATCTCCAAAGGGTGCGTCTTCCGTGACCCAGCTGGGATTTCAACCCCGCGTGCTTGCTCGTAGCGCCCCAGCCTCCACGTCACGTTCTTTACGAGTTAACGGTGCATTTACTGAAGGCAGAGTTAGCCCTCTGTCAGGACACACGTGTGAGAGTGGGTTTCTGCCTGGCGCAATTCGATATACTGGCTATTAAGCCGCCGAAAGACGGCTGAGGTCTAGGTGAGTGTTCAAGTTTACTCAGACTAAGGCGTCCCCTACCATGTTTTTGCCAGGAAAGAGGCCGGGGAAGGCAGCCTGATTTGCATATGCAAATGCAATCACCATACCATGTAAATACGTATCCCTCGTCCGTCGTCGCTTCTGTGGTCGGCAGCCCCACAGCGAGCGTCCGTGCCAGCCAGGCCTGTTCCTGAGCCAGGGAAGAGACTTGTCCACATGTCATCCAGCTTCTGTGCAAGTGCAGTCTTAGCGGGGCGAGTTGGAGGCTGAGTGTGTGCGTGTGTGACGGGTATGGGTGTGTGAGAGTGTGTGTGAGTGTGTATGCGTGTGTGTGACGGGCATGAATTCAAAGTGACACCGTTTAGTGGAAAGGCTGATCTGTGTTCCCTCCTGCCTTGAGAATGCTAATTTGGATAATGGGAGAGCCTTTCTGGTTTGGAAAAGCGTTCTAAGGGGGTCGGGGGGGACTTTTTGTCTCCTCTCTCAGGCCTCCTGCCCCTCACCTGTGGCCCGTGGGCTCACGGGTGACACAGGGGAGGACAGGTGGCTGTTAGGGACACTTTGTAGACTCCGGGGCGCCTGCCGACATCACGGGGGCAGAGAGCTCACCACGTCTCCTGGTCGGTAGACTCCACTTTGATCAACGTGTCCACGAACCAAAGTCCCGTCATTCAGACCAAAAGAAGTAACACCAGGGCGCATAGGACGCACGACAGGACAATCCTTACCAAATTCCAGCTGCCGTTTGGGGCTAGGACAAGCTGGTCCTAAAATCCAGATAGAAATGCAAAGAACCCAAAATAGGCACAGAGAATTTATCGAAGAACTCACACTTCCCAGGCTCACACTTACTACAAAATGACACAAATCAAAAGAGTGTGACGCTAACACAAGGGTGAGTATACAAATTAATGGGATATAGTCGACATTCCAGAAATAAAGCCTCATGTTTATGGTCAACTGAGATATGACAAGGATGCTAAGACAACTCAATGGGGGAAGGAGAGTCTTTTCGACAAATGCCGCGGGGACAGCTGGACAGCTCACACTGAAGAATGAGGTTGGACCCCTGCCTCAAAGCCCAGGCAAAAATTAACTCGAAAGGAATAGACGTAAGCACTTTAATTATAAAACTCTTAGAAGAAAACATGGGAATAAATCTTCCTGATGTTGGATCGGGAAATGGTTTTACAGAGACGAAGCCAGAAGCAAATGTGACCAAAGAAAATATGGGTATTTTGGACTCGCAGAGATTTTTAGTGCTCCGGAGGGCACTATCAAGAGAGTGAAGGATGGAGGAAAATATTTGCCAGCCAGGCGTGACAGAACTGGTTTTTGGAACTCTTAGGCCCGCGTAACAAAAAGACAAAAAAGGGCAAAGGATCTGAAGAGACATTTCTCCAAATAAGATGTGTAAATGGCCAGTGAGCACAGGTGTTCACCTCGCTGACTATTAGAGAAATCAAAGTCAAGACCACAATGAGTGACTATTTCACAGCCATTAGTGCTTCTAAAGTAGAACACTCAGGTAATTACAAGTGTTGGTGAGGATGTGCCGAAATTGGCACCCTTATTCGCTGCCGACAGGGATACGAACATGGCTCAGAACGTTAACTATAGAGTAGTTACTTGACCCGCAGGTAGGAGACAGGACAGACCCGCACAAACGCTGTAACGTGAATGTACGTAGATCATGTGTAGTGTGTAAACGGCCACGGTGTATAAGCAGTCCGATACGAATCAATTGGCGAACGGGCAAACACAATGTGATCTGTCCGTACAGTAGAACGTTATTCGGTAGTACGTGGGAAAGTTGATTCACGCTCCAACGTGGATGAGCCCTAAAACATTACCCTAAGTGAGAGAATCCAGACACAGAAGGCTGACTGTTGTATGATCCCGTTTATAAGAAGTCCTCAGGCGGGGACCTCTGTAGACACAGAAGGTGTAGCAGCAGCTGGGGAGGCTGGGGCTGGGGTATCGTGGGTATTTGCAGAGGCGTTAAAATGTTCTGAAATTTCCTGTGCTGTTGGTTGCACAACTCTGGATATACTAAAACCCACTGAATTGTACAATTTAAATCGGTGAATTGTATGGTATGTGGATTATTTCTCAATGACACTGTTAAAACAGGGTGCAAAGGTAAAGGGCCCTTGTCTCTCCTTCCCCGTGTCTTCCCTCCTTTCAGAAATAAGGGTGGCTGTCGGTGGCACCAAATCCCGTTAAGTAAGTTTGTAAAGTTCCTAAGCTGTGACTTGAAAGCCGCCCCTGTGACTCCTTTGCGGGGAGGCGTCTTTATCTGAGGGTCGCATGCAGGGCCACCCTCAGGGGAGGCCTGTCACTGGCTGCTGGGAAGGGACCAAGGATGGGTGAAGGAGCAGGTGTGCGGTCAAAGCTGGTGAGACCCAGAGCTGAGATTTCAGGAGTTGGGCGTTTAGGAGGTCCCGAGGGTGTCCTGATCCTTGCGTCCGGGCGGCTTGGCTTCCTGAGACTGGTTCTGTTTTGGGGAGGAAGTGAGTGGAGAGAGGTGTCAGTGAGGCTGAGAGAGCAGAGGGCCGGGGTCCTGGAGCAGAGGTGGCCCCGAGAACCCACGGCCGCCAGGATCCACAGACACCGTGATCCCTCTCAGGGCCGGAAAGAGGGAGTTTGCATCAGGCTTGCCTAAATCTTGAGACAAGGTGACCCGAAGATGGGGTTCACGTGCTGGTGAAGTTCTTAGTCCAGAGCAGGCTGTGAACAGGTGCCCTTTCCGCTGGGTCTCCCCTGGGGGGGGGGCTTCCCCTGCAGCAGCGTGGCCCCCTCTCTCCACCCCCTCCTTCTGTCCCCACCAGAAGCTCAGAGAACATAGTGGCTGACGCTCCGTCTGGACAAAATCTTGCCACGGTTTCTGCCCAACCAGGACCTGTCTCTAAAGAACCTCATCCGCAGCTTCAAAAACGTTTGGGGGCATCTGGGCGGCTCAGTAGGTTGAGCGTCCGCCTCTTGATCTCGGCTCAGGTCATGATCTCACGGTTCGTGAGTTCGAGCCCCGCGTCGGGCTCTGTGCTGACAGCATGGAACCTGGAGCCTGCTTCGGATTCTCTGTCTCCCTCTCTCTCTGCCCCTCCCCACCCTCTCTCTCTTAAAAAAACCTAAAAAAGAGTTTGGGAGTCAGGCAGGGATCCGCATCACCGTCAGCCAGCCTCCCGGACCCTTGGGTATCTTGTCTTCTCTCTTTGACAACAACCCTTGACCCTTTATGCTGTACGAATCTTCGTTACTGTAGTCACTTCATGTCTGGCTCCTGTCGGACGCTTCTGGACGGGGCTGCACTTCTCCCGGACACATCAGTCACGACGGGGTGACCCAGGGAGGCTAGCCGCTGGTTCGGCCGTTCCTTGTACCGTTTCTGTAGGCTGTTCCGTGTCCTTGCCGGGGCCGTTTCCGGGGACAGAGCGGACGTTTGCAAGCCCTTCAGACGAGTCAGGCCCTTGACTCCACATTTACCCCGGAAAAGAGGCAGGGCTCCCGTGTGGACTTTGTCTGCACCAGAGGTGGTCAATGGGGGCAGTGGCGCCCCCGGGGAGCACTGTCGACGTCTGCAGACATGTGGGAATGCCAGAGCTCGAGAAGGGGTTCTGGTGTCTGGTGGGTAGAGGCCAGGAATGCTGCTAGAAGTCCCATAGTGCACGGGGCTGAGAACTCCAAGCCTTGGGTGTGTGTGTGTGTGTGTGTGTGTCTGCTCACAAGTGACCGACACCAGGGGTCTTGACTGGCTGGGATTTTAGGGCTTGGATGTGAGGAAAAAGGGGTACAAGCAAATACCGACTTTGCAGTAAGACAGATGAAGATATTAAAGAGGGAATATCAACCTCTCTGGTCAACGTGGAAGAACTTTCTATTCCTAGTGGAAAACAAACTAGCGAAACTGAAAACCACCACCTTGGGGCTTCCAGACAAGTCCACAAAGAACAAAACCAACATGGTAGGCCCCCCAGCGCCGTCACCCACCCCTCTGGCAAACTAGGACTTCCCTTGTTTAAAAGGCTGTCTAGACGGTGGTGTCTGCAGACGTGTTTCGCACTGTGTGGGACACTTTGGTTCTGAAGAATGATGCTTAATTACTCTCCAGGCACTATGCTAATTTCTTTTTTTTTTTTTTTTTTTTTAAATTTTTTTTTCAACGTTTTTATTTATTTTTGGGACAGAGAGAGACAGAGCATGAACGGGGGAGGGGCAGAGAGAGAGGGAGACACAGAATCGGAAACAGGCTCCAGGCTCCGAGCCATCAGCCCAGAGCCTGACGCGGGGCTCGAACTCACGGACCGTGAGATCGTGACCTGGCTGAAGTCGGACGCTTAACCGACTGCACC